TTCCAGTGTCCACCACTGTGTTTGGAAACCTGGCATGTAAAGCGAGACGGGCGGCGACTCACCTACAACTGCTGCAGTCAGGCCTTTCTTCAGGCCAATACCTTAGGGCCAAGGGAAACTGGAATTTTAGCTTTTTCCACACTCTAAACCTACGCAGGCATAAATTCGAGAATCTTGCTGCCATGTTACTTGGTGTTTTTCTATTCAAATTCTGAGTTTGAAAAAACAACGTTGGTTGTTTTTCCTCCCGATTCTGAAAGGATCACTGGGTAGGTTTAACATACATCTTTCCATATGTCACGAAAGGCTGGGTTAAAGATGTAAGATGCATGACGTTAATCCTAACGCAGCTAAGTGTATGGACAAGGGCCTCTTGGGCCTTTCTTCAGAAGATGAGGTTCAATGGAAGGAGAAAAGCAACCGTGTTAGTGTCATTAGCACTGGCCATGCAGAAGCCACATGTGCCCTGCATGCTACTGAGGTCACTAAAGGGACTGGAGAAAGAACCTGACACGGTTGCTGTGCTCCCATGGGGCTAAGTTGTCTCTATTACCCTCCCTCTTCTCTCCAGCCACCTGCAAAACATCTAGTCAGTCGGCCTTCAGTTTTGAATGTTTACATTTCAGATACCCTTGAAATAGAAATGCATTTGGTAAACCTTAACTTCTTCCAATTGGGAGGCAACACAGGGAAATGACAACTTAAAAATTACTCCGAGAACAGCTGCATTCTCATTTGTCTGACCACTAGTCTGATGGATGTTAAGATTTTTTTAACAGGTCGAAAACAGAAAAATTCAGGGAATTTCAGCAAAAGCCTTTATGAGATATACGCCACGTATTATAATTCTTGAAACCACAATTGAAATCTGTCATTGTTACTGGCCTCCAAGGTTGCTGTCTTTTTCTCACACTTACTCTTCCCAGAGCAGCCACTGTGCTTACAAGTGTGCCTCCAGAAACAGAAGACACCAGTCAGTTTACAGCCACTTTCATCTCACCTTCTAAAGGAATGGCCCGCACTCTCTGAGACTCACGTGGAGAGGGAAGGTGGTGAAAGGTGCCGCTGGTAAAGCAAAACAGGACTGGATTTGTCAAAACCACCCCCAGCTACCCTTAATGCCCCAGGGAACACTTACTATTCTCAGCGTATGCTGTATCAAAAACATCTTGCATTTTAGGTTCTGGGAGTAAATCTGAAACCTGTATTCAGTTCACGTCTAACTAAGTTTCAAAAGCTGCACCAAATCTACTAAGCTTTTTTTTTTAATACTCTTCACTGCATGCTCTGTCTATATGCATGCGTTTGAATAATAAATATTAAATATGGGGGACGCACAGAACCATAAAATTAAAAATGAAACCAAACTGAACATTAAACAATAGTACATGGTAGCTGGAGAAATGAATAAGGGCAAAAAATAAATTTGAGGTAACAATAGTGGCCCAACACCACTGATCTGAAATATCTGTAAAAATTCAACTAAGTGTTTGGAGATTCAAGTAACAAACCATCTGCTCCAACTTGGTCAGACTTCCCAGGGTCCCTGCGGAGTTTCAGTCCATAAGCCGGCACTCACACAGCTCCTTGTAAATCCTCTTCCGCACTCGGGGCATGTCTTCTTGTGAGAACTGGAAAGGCTGCTCTAAGGCGAGGCACTTGCAGTACTGCAAAGGTCCAGAAACACTTCAGTGGCACTTGGAGTTGTGTACCAGCCCGTTCTATTTTACTAAATGCAGACCTAATAGTGTCTAAGGCAGAAGTCCCCAACCTTTTTGGCACCAGGGACTGGCTTCGTGTAAGGCAATTTTTCCACAGACTTGGGGGAGAGGGGGTTGGTTTCAGGATGAATTATCAGGCATTAGTTAGATTCTCATAAGGGGCAAACAACCTAGATCCCTCGCGTCTGCAGTTCACAACAGTTCACGCTCCTATGAGAACCTAATGTGGACGGCTGGGGACCCCGATCTAAGGCAGCATTTTCATGTCTGTTTAAACTGTTGTAAAAACACACTGTTTTAAGCATTTACCCAAATTATAGTCAACCGACCAAGCTAGTGTATGGCTTGGGATCTCCTCTCCCTCCTGACCCAGTATTGTGAAAAGCAGCAACTGATGAAAAGGCCTAAATTCCTCCCAAAGTGCAACCTGCTGCGAGTGCAGCTAGACCTATCATGGCCCTTAAGTGGGAACTAGAATTTGTTTATAAAACCCCAAACATGCATGAGGTACACAAATGAACCTGTTTTCCAAGATCTTTGCAAATCTCTAAATTCATGCATCATATTCTGTAATTTCCTTCACAAATATAATGTATAACTGAATTTTTTCCATAGCGCTTTTTGACCTCTAAGGAGATGACAGCAGTTTTTCAATGCGGCCCTTATTTAAAATCTAATCACTCTGTGTCAGACCTGCAGATTGCTTGCCAATGGTTTTTTTTTTTAATTCTGCAAATGCCAAAGGTTATGATACGGACAAATTCAAGTCAGTCTCCAGTGTGGCTTACTGATAACCTCCAATGAGACATGGATGATACCCACAGTTCACTCTTGATGCCTGGAAGGTGGTTCTTCCTAATGATAACATCTGAGAATGCAGAAACTACTGCTCCTCAGCAACCAAGGGGAGGTAAGTACTCTGTGGCTTGTACCTAGCATCATATACACACACAGGAACGGCCCTCTCTCCCCTCTCAACCCCACAAACTCAATTCACACGGTGTAAACTCTGAAAAGCAGTCTTTCTTTACCTGGAGCACAAAGACTCCACAGTCACTGTCATTTTTCTGTTGTGGAATACACTGAGGGGAAAAACAAGACAGTCATTAAAATAAGATCAATTACTCCTCTTCAGATAAGAAAAACTCCTTTATGGAAAAATGTGCAAAGGATAGGAAACTTTTCTCTCTCCAGGACAGCTGGTATATCCTCTGGTATCTCAAGCATCTAATTTTATGGAGGCACCTGGCCACATCAAAAGAGCTATCAGGTGACAACCACAACTTATAGAACAATGTTTTACCTAAATATGAGAAATGGGAAATCAAATGTAAAAACCTATTTTAAAAACATGCATTTGGATACTGGGTTCTGCTATCAATTCACTGACAATGGAGTCGAAATGGAATTGTGGCTGGGAACACAGGCCCGGCCCCTGGACGCCAGGATGGTGAGAACGCCACTGAGCACTCTTCGCTTTAGATCTCACATCACACGACCCTGTCCTATTCTTTGAAAGACATTGTGAAGGTAACAGTATGGTTTTTGTGATGGGGCTTTTTTTTTGAGACAGGGTCTCACTCTGTCGCCCAGGCTGGAGTGCAGTGGCACAGTCTCAGTCTCCTGAGTTCAAGCAATCCTCCCACCTCAGCTTCCCAAGTAGCTGGGACTACGCCTGGTTAATTTTATTATTTGTAGAGATGAGGTCTCACCATGTTGCCCAGGCTGGTCTTGAACTCCTAGACTTAAGCAATCCGCCCACCTTTGCCTCCCAAAAGTGCTGGGAATACAGGCATGAGCCACTGTGCCCGGCCAACAGTATGTTTTTAAAAGAACTGGTTACTGTATTCTGCCCAAAGCGGGGATATGGAAGATCCTAACTAAATTTAGAATACCTAGATTTTTTAGTTGAGTAATTTCAGGAAATTTACTAGTTCTGGTTTCACCTGGTATACTAGGTTATTCAAAATACAAAACTTAAGCTTAATTTTAAAATTTAGCATTTGGTTCGGTTCAAGGATGAACTAATAAATCTTGTCTCTTTGGGTTTGGGTTAAAGGTTTGTTTCAAGATCCTGCCTATAACATTGTGTCAATGATCCAGACAGACCTGCATTCAAGGACCTGACTCTGTATCAATAGTTTTGATGTCCTTTGGGGAAAATCACACCTGGGCTTCAGTTTTCTCATTTACAAAATAAAGATGATGCTTATCCCTAGGTGACCTGCCTACCTCACAGATTATAAGGATCAAATGAGATCTAATACACAGAAACACTGGAAACAATACAGCCCGCCATCAGTGGAAGACACTGGTATTGACGACAGGAATGAGCGGCTGTGCCTGGGCACTCTGCCTCACAGTTCGAATGTCATGGGCCAAACGTGGTGCTGCATCCAGACGGTGGTGGGACTGAAGTGCCTGGGCTATCTTCCCCACACGCCTGGCAAGTAGCCCAGTGCACCTTCTCCCCCTCAGTGGATCCAAATAGTCATTTCAGCATTCCTCTGGGTCTGTATGGGTCATGTGGGAATAAGAGCCATGATGCAAGAGGCAAGTGCCACCCAAAAAAGTTTTTTTTTTCCCCCGGAAGAGCAAACACATCATTAGCAACTGCCTCAGGGAGGAAGTGACTGAAGTGATTTGCTCCCGGGAAGCACTGGGCAACTGAGCAGCGATGATGGATACTAGACTGAAGTTTATTCTCAGCTGCCTCCCTGGAGCCTCCAGGCTCTCCTTGGTATCTCTGTCACCAGTCTTCAAATACTCTTAAAGGCACCCACCCTTACATAATTCCATCCCCTGGACATGCCTGGGTTTCATTGTTATCACATACTTACCTTCGTAACAGCAGTCTGCCAACCCTGAAGAAATTCAGGTCTATTTTTTTCTCTGGCTTCAGTCAGCAAATACTTTCTTATATTCTGGTTAAAAAGAAACCACAACACAGATGCTGTGTTCCATCAGTTGGTGAAAAATGGAACATGCCCATAGCAGACAGAAGGAAAAGAGGAGGCTGTGGCCCCATAACTGGGCAGAGTATGCATTAAGAAGCTGGAACAAATTTTTTTTTAAGAGAGAGGATCTTGCTCCGTCACCCAGGCTGGAGTGCAGTGGCGTGATCAGAGCTCACTGCAGCCTTGAACTCTCAGGCTCCAGAGATCCTCCTGCCTCAGCCTTCCAAGTAGCTGGGACTACAGGTGTACACCACTGCTCCTGGCTAAAGCTGGAATTTTATTTCAGACTCTCCATTTCATATTGTTAAGGGGGAGTCAGACCTCCTGTATTCAAGTTTGCACCCAGACTGTGGATGCTGGCTTTGTCTAATCAGAACATTTTATGGGATGGTTATAGCCAGCCCTTCCCAACAGTAAGTCAGCTGCTGCATTTGAAACTTACATACTGGCAAGTCAAAAAGAAAGTCTTTATCATTGCCAGTGCTCCACAGAGGAAAGGAACCCATGGCAGACATCATTAACAACTAAAACTAAATGAAAAACATTCCAGCCTTAGATATTCTGATACACTCCTTATTTTTGAGGACTGCAGAAAAGGTTAACATTCAGTTTCTGGAAAGTTATACTAAAATTCATTCTGAATACTGAATATGGTCAAGTCCACTGTTGAAATATCTACCAAGATGAAGCTTGCTGGAGTTTCAAAATGTCCCCAGTACTCTCAACCTCTGTGCGTCTCTCTCCACATCAAGAGTGAAGTCAGAGGTTATGTGAATAACGCCCCCCACCCACCCCCTAACAAAAGGGGACCATGGCCAGACGCGGCGGTTCACATCTATAATCCCCGCACTGTGGGTGGCTGAGGCGGGTGGATCACATGATGTGAGGTCAGGAGTTCAAGACCAGCCTGGCCAACAAAGCAAAACCCCGTTTCTACTAAAAATACAAAAAGTAGCCAGGCATGGTGGTGCACACCTGTAATCCCAGCTACTCCAGAGGCTGCAACACAAGAATCACTTGAACCCAGGAGGCAGAGGTTGCCATGAGCCAAGACTGGGCCACTGCACTCCAGCCTGGGGGACAGAGTAAGACTCTGACTCAAAAGAAAAAAAAAAAAGGTGGACTAGAAGCCACCTCTTCAGAAGAAAACACATGATAAAAGCAAATACTTAATATTTAACCAAGTCTCACCGCATGTTGCTCTTCTCCCTCTAAACAAGTAACTTTAGGTTCTCAGAATAAGCAGTACGTGTAAATTTTTTTTTTTTTTTTTTTTTTGAGATGGAGTCTTGCTGTGTCACCCAGGCTAGAGTGCAGTGGTGCGATCTCAGCTCCCTGCAACCTCCATCTCCCAGGTTCAAGCAGTTCTCCTGCCTCAGCCTCCCGAGTAGCTGGGACTACAGGCGCATGCCACCATGCCCGGCTAATTTTTGTGTTTTTAATAGAGACGGGGGTTCACCATGTTGGCCAGGATGGTCTCTATCTCTTGACCTTGTGATCCACCCGCCTTGGTCTCCCAAAGTGCTGGGATTACAGGCGTGAGCCACCCTGCCCGGCCAGTATATGTAAATTCTTAAGTAAAATACAGGCAAAAAAGATTTGTCCTTAAAAATGGTCACCTACACTCAAAATGTACTGAGCATCTATAATGGTTCAAGTGCTGGGGACACTAGTGAATAAAGCTCTTGCAGTCTCTGCTGCCATGGAATCTACACATTTATGTAGTGACTGTTTCAAACACTTTTCATCAGTTCTTTGGAGATACCGGCCCCTAACTGAGTTAAGCACCACTTCTACAACCCCTACATCCTCTTAAAACAAAAAACAGCTTGACCCCACCTGTCCAGATGACTTGGCTCCAAATTACTTCTAGTTATCACCTAAAAGGAATCTGTTCTTAGCGTCTTTTTGCAAATATGCAAAATTGTTAGGCCAATTGTAATTGTGCGGAAAAGGTAAGAACTCTGCAGGAGGGCTTGGGCACAAATTCAGAAGATGAATTTTTATTACTGTGCAGAACCAGACGCTAATGATTCAGAATCAACTTGAACCCAACTACATGTTTTACAAACAAAATCCTGTTTAACCATCATTCACTCCATGAAGGTGAACGTCTGTCTGGTCCTACCTGACTCCTCGCATCAGTGCCTGGCACAGAGCAAGAGGCACAGTAACTAGTTCCTACATGAAACAATTTTCCCAACACCTCTGCTCTCCTCTGCCTGTCAGAATCTGATTCTTAAAGGCACTCATATGGCTGCACTTTTGGTTGTATCTTTGCAGGTCTGTCTAGGAAAGAGACAATATAGACGAGCTCTGGCCGGTATGGGAATATGTTGGTTGAGAGAAAGGCAAGGAATTAGGGGAAGGGAACGGGAAAAGACGCTCACACCTGGTATTGTGAGAACTCTGGGCCCAGGAGGCTTCTCCCTTTTGGGGTATTTTTTTCCTGGATTTCTTGGAAATGAAAATGTGATTTTGAAAACTTGATTTTCCTCATAGGTTGCATTAAACTTAATTTTAAAATTAAATGTTAATTAAATAATACAAGAAAATATTCTCCTTGTAAAAAAAACAAAAAATCCCAAAATAAGGCCAAAATATTCTCCTTATAATTAAAAATATTCTAAATAAGGCCAAATCACCTTTAACTATTAGTCTTGCTTTTCCACACTTACCCAAAGGTAATAATCATTGATATCAAAAATGGTAAGATCCTATCTTTTTACTTACAAATATATATATATATGTATGTGCCTACACATACACCTGCATGTATTTGTATATATACACATACACATGTACTTTTTTCTATAAATGTACTATACCGTATCATTCCACAATTGGCTTTTTAAAGCTCTATGCCTTGGACATCTTTCCATTTGAGGACTTGAAGGTCTAGTATATTCTATTTAACTGCTATGGTCAGTTTAATAGTATGGGTATACTGTACCATAGTGTATTTAGCTATATTCTCTTGCTACAGCTAAATTTGTGTTGTTTTATTTAGCACTATTATAAATAATGCTGCCATGAACATCCTAGCACATGCCCCATCCTTATCTGCAGAGACAAGCATTTTTATGGAGTAGATACCAAGAAATGGAACTGATATGCCACAGATTGTGCATCTTTTTAATTTACACTTGGAACTGATGAGAACTGCAGCTGTCCCCAAGCGGCTGTATCAATTTATACACTCCACCAGAAAATACGCAAATGCCTATTTCCTTACATAGACACTTGAATAGCATCACTTTTTCTAACACAATGGGTAAAAAATGTAACTGGTGTAGTTTTCATTTGCATTTCCTTTATTTCTGCTGAGGCTGAACACCTCTCCATGTGTTTTTAAATAGTTATTTGCATTTTTCCTAAAATTTACTAAATTACCCTTTGTCCATTTCTATTAGGTCCTTTTATCCTCCCCTTATTCATTTGCAGGAGTTTCCCATGTATTCTGGATAATTATTTTCTGTTATTTACATCATACATATTTTCTCCAAGTCTGTTGCTTGTCTTTTAACTTTATGATACACAGAAGTTTTAAATTATGAGGTGGTTAAATTTATCCAATTGTTCCTCATGTCTTTTCTTTGGTTCCATGTAAGAAGTCCTTCCCCACTCTGTGAACATAATATTCTCCATATTTCATTCAAATACTTTTACGGTTTTGTACAGATTTCTTTTAAGTACCTAAAGCTTTAGGAGTTTTCATCATAAAGAATTTCCACATTTCTTCCTAGGGCATATTCCTGGCTTATTTATGTTTTGTTTCTTTTATAAATGGAATCTTATTCCCAGTTACATTTTCTTACTGGTTCGTGATAGTGCAGGAAAATCTGGAAACCTACTCATTTTTCTTGATTTTGTATCCCACCATCTTGTTGAACTGTTTATTAGCTAAACACTAATACTTTGTTAATTGATTCCGTTGGGTTATAGTTTATTCTACAGGAGTTATTTTGCAGATACAAGCCAATTTTAGCTTTAAGATGATCAAAGAAAAACAATTTCTAACCACATTCAAGATGTAGTTTTAAGGGAAAAACAGAGAAAATCCAAGTGGAGTACCTCAGAGGGGGATCTGGATCCTAGACAGATCCTCTCCTCAGCCAGAGATTCCTCTTCTAGTCCTTTTCTCAGCTAACATTTTAGAGGATTTTCATGACATAAACTGTTCCTATATGGTTTTGACTGCTGCTGTTCTATCTAGAGCTAAGATGCTATTTGGCCAATTATAAAATAAATGAAAAAATAGGCAGTATATTAACTTACCTCTACACAAAACTTAAAATGAATGCCTTGGGAATCATAAAATGAAATAATTCGATTAGAGAGTGTCACAGTAATGAGAGACCAGTGGACTTCCAGGTGAATAGGAATCAACAGAAGGCTCTTTTTAAACAAATCCACCTGATCAAGAAAAGAGAAAGAAATGCAGCCATCACCACAGGCTATCCAAACCACCAAAAAACAGCAGCTTCCATTTGCTGACCTGTGACCTACACAAGGGCAAAAAAGTAGTAAGCAATGAACCAGAATTTGAACCCAGGTCTTACTCTAAGCCCATGCTTGTAACTATTAAGCTGTAACACACAACAATAATACAAAAATAAAGCTATACAAAGTACAGTTTTCCAGTTCATCTACTAAACCTGTGTGTCAACTGCCTGATATGACTTGGCTCCTTGTTTTTATGCTTACCTCATTTTCTCATGTACATATTTAACCTGGATTCAACTCTTGTTTAGAAAGGAATCATAGTATTAGAAAACAGTATAAGGGGCCAGGCACGGTGGCTCACACCTGTAATCCCAGTACATTGGGAGGCTGAGGTGAAGGACTGCTTGAGCCCAGGAGTTTGAGACCAGCCTGGGCAACATAATGAGACTCTGTCTCTACAAAAAATAAAAAATCAGGCCGGGCTCAGTGGCTCACGCCTGTAAGCCCAGCACTTTGAGAGGCCAATGCGGGCAGATCATTTGAGCTCAAGAATTTGAGACCAGCCTGGGTGACACGGCGAAACCCTGTATCTACAAAAAATACAAAAACTAGCTGGGTGTGGTGGTGTGCACCAGCAGTCACAGCTACTTGGTAGGCTAAGGTTGAAAGGATGGCTTGAGCCTGGGAGGCAGAGGTTGCATTGAGCAGAGATTGCGCCACTGCACTCCAGCCTAGGTGACAGAGCCAGACCTTGTCTCAAGAAAAATAAATAAATAAAAATTAAAAATCAGCCAGGTGTGGTGGTGCATGCCTGCAGTCCCAGCTACTTGGGAGGCTGAAGCAGCAGGATCACTTGAGCCCAGGAGGTGGAGGCTGTAGTGAGCCATGATCACACACAGTGACACCCTGAAACTGCATCTACAGACTCTTTCTACAGATATGGTGTAAGCAGCAGTTAAGATCATGGGCTCTGAAGCAAGTCTGCTCAAGTTCAAATTGTGCCTCTTCCACTTATTGGTCAGATGACTTTGGCAATTTCCTTAGCTTCTTTGCACCTTAATTTCCTCAACTAATAAAATGCATAGAAAATAGTACCTACCTTATGAAGTTTTTAGAAGTAATAAAAGAATATGTGTAAGATGCATAAAACTCTGTTTAGCCCATTATAAGTAACCAAATATCTTAGTTATTATGATTACTTGCTTGGGTCTCTCAAATGTCAAAATTGAGAAAAACATCCTTGATAATACTTTATGCATCCTTTACAATCATAACACACCTTTATATCGTAATAGATATCCCTTTACAGTCTAGAAATGCTTGCTATTCCACTCGAAATTCCAGTGTAGAGTGGGTGATAAAGTAGTAGGTGCTCCACACACATTTGTAAAAAGGTGAATCAATTTGCCTTCTCAGGTTAGAGTAATTTGGTGATTACTTGGGTTAAAACATTTTAAACTACCTCAAATTCTCTGAAACTAATTTCCCAAGATTTCCTTCTCGCTTTCTGATATTCAAATAGTGTCCTGCTCTAAATGAATCTTCTGTAAGTCTTCATGACCCTGGAGAAAAATCACTTTAGCTTTTCAGTTTCTGCATCAACCTAGGGGAGTGAGGTGGGCAGAAGGAAATAGTGAAAATAATAAACAATGGTCCTCTCCAGATTATAAATTCGGAGTATTTTTTTTAAATTCTGAGTATCTAAAACAAGGAATCATATTTAGAATACAGCAATAAATAAAACCAGATTTATATTCTTCTCAAAAAGTAATGTTTCCTACATTGTAAAATAGATTTTTGTATAAAAATTACAAAATACAGAAAAAGATACACTTCACCTATCTTTCGAAATCATTTTTCTTCTTCTAACACATTAACACAGACATACATAGAGCTTTATACAGGCTGAATATCCCTAACCCGAAAACCTGAAATCCTCCAAAATCTGAACTTTCTGAGAGCTGACATGATGCCACAGATTGTCCACAGGGGTGGTTGAGATAGTGACACGTTTGCTTTCTGATGGGTCAATGTACATAAACTGTTGCATATACAAAATTACTAAGAATATTGTAAATTACCTTTGGGCCATGCATCTAAGGTGTATATGAAACATAAGTGAATTCTGTGTTTAGACTTTGGTTCCACCCCCCAAATACCTCATTATATATATACAAATATTACAAAATCTGAAAGAGTCCAAAATCCAAAACACTTCTAGTCCCAAGCATTTTGGATAAGGGATATTTAACCTGTACACATAATTAAGAACAATGTGCATGACAGATTGTATCACTGACCCCAATTATTTGTTGCCCTCCCTGTAAGAAGATTACACAGGCCTGCCCATGCCATGTGACTTCTCTGCCCTCCCAAAGAGAGAAGTGTAGTCCTGTCATGTGATTTGCTTTAATCAAAAGGATGTAATAACCAGAAGTGAAATTATGTCATGATCAAATTGAAACTTTAAGAGCTACCATGTGAGACTGCCATGTCTCAAGAAAGGTGTTGCTCCTTCAGTTTGGGTCCCATTCGCAGAATAAAGAAGAAAAACCATAGGTTCATCTGCTTAGATGCAGGAAAAGCATTTGATGAAATTCAGTATTTACTTATAATTAAAAACTCTCAGGAAAATAGGAATAATAGGAAAGCATACAGCTGACATCATACACAATAGTGAAAAACTGAACGTTTTCCAAGATTGAGAACTAGGGAAAGATGTCTATCTCATTACTTATATTCAACATTGTACCAAGTCTTAGCCAGTGCAGTAAGGCAAGGAAAAAAATGGCATACAGATTGCAAAGAATGAAATAAAACTGTCACTACTTACAGATGTTACGTGTCTATGAAAATTTCACAGAATATACAAAAAAGCTCCTAGAAGCAGTAAATGACTTTGGTAAGGTCAGAAGATACAAAGTCAAAATACAGAAATCAACTGTATTTTTATATATAAACAACTAGAAGATAATATTTTTAAAATTCTGTTCATAGCCATTTCAGCAACATGAATACTTAAGGATACATTTAACAAGAATGTACATATAAGATGTATACACTAAAAATTACAAATAATGCTGAGAAAAATTAAAGACCTAAATAAATGCAAAGATATACCATGTTCATAGACTGAAAGGCTTAATATTATTAGATGTCCATTCTCCCCAAACTAATGTATAAACACGATCCCAATCACTCCAGCATGCTTACTAAACAGAGTTTGATAAACTAATTTTAAAGTTCATATGAAAATGCAAAGGACTCAGAATTGCCAAAACAATCTGGAAAAAGGATAAAGCTGGCAGACTCACAGTGATTTTCAGACACACTATGAAGATACAGTAATATCGTGTAGTGTTAACATAAAAAATAGGCATCAGTGTAAGAGAACAGAAAATCCAGAAGTAGACCTATACATATATGATCAGTTGACTTTCTATAATGGTGTCAAAGCAATTAAATTGGAAAAGAAAAGTACACTAAGGAAAAAAAAAAATCTTGATCCTCCCTACCTTTTTTTTTTTTTTTTGAGACAAAGTTTTACTTTTGTTGCCCAGGCTGGAATGGAATGGCACTGTCTCGGCTCACTGCAACCTCCGTCTCCTGGGTTCAAGTGATTCTCCTGCCTCAGCCTCCCAAGCAGCTGGTATTACAGGCATGCTCCACACACCTGGCTAATTTTATATTTTTAGTAGACACAGGGTTTCTCCATGTTGGTCAAGTTGGTCTCAAACTCCCGACCTCAGGTGATCCGCCTGCCTCGGCCTCCCAAAGTGCTGGGATTACAGGTGTGAACCACCGTGCCCGACCTACCTCACTTCTCACATACAAAATTCATTGAGATGCAACGGAGATGTAAATGTAAAACTGGAAACTACAACGCTATTGTAAGAAAACACAGGAGGCAAATATATTTTAGACTGGACATAGAAAGCAGCAACTATAATAGAAAAGTATAGTAAATTAGATTTCATCGAAAGACAGTTAAGAAAACAAATAGAGAAGCTACAGGAGGAGAGAAAACAATAACAAAGCATAGACCTGACAAATAACTTATATCCAGAACATAAAACACCTCCTACAACTCAATAATAAAAAGATAATCCAATAAAGGGCAAACAGTATTAACAGAGACTTCACAAAATATGATATACAAGTTTCAGTTTTGCAAGATGAAAAAGTTTTGCAGACTGGTTGCCTAATATTGTGAATATACTTAATACTATTGAACTGTACACTTAAAAATGAGTAAGATACTAAATTTTATGTGTATTTTACATAATTTTAAAAGTACTCAGCTGGGTGCAGTGGCTCATGCCTGTAATCCTAGCACTTCAGGAGGCCAAGGTGGGTGGATCACTTGAGGTCAGGAGTTTGAGACCAGCCTGGACAACATGGTAAAACCTCGTCTCTACTAAAAATACAAAAATGAGCCAGGCATGATGGCGGGCACCTGTAGTCCCAGCTACTTAGGATGCTGAGGCAGGAGAATCGCTTGAACCCGGGAGGCAGAGGTTGCAGTGAGCCAGGATCGCGCCAGTGCATGCCAGCCTGAGCGACAGAGACTCCGTCTCCAAAAAAAAAAAAAAAAAAGTACTCAGTACAGTCTTTTGTAGGAAGCACTTACAATAATATACGTAACAATATAATTTTTTAAAAGATACAAAAAGGCCAAAGATATAAAAAGCACATGAAAAGGTGCTCAATGTCATTAGTCACCAAGGAAATAAAAATTAAAACCACAATGAGACAATATTACACATAACCATTAAAATGGTAAAATTAAGAAGAGGCTAGCCATGGTAGCTCACATCTGTAATCCCAACACTTTGGGAGGCTGAGGTGGGAGGATACAGTGTTAGCATAAGAACACAGACAAACTGAAAGTTATATATCATCTTTTGTGAGGTCTCGTTGAGGCCAAGAGTTTGAGACCAGCCTAGTCAACAAAGCAAGACTCTGACTCT